TACCAGGAATTGATCTCATGACCTTGTGCTTGCCAGGCAGGTGCTGTGCCACTGAGCTAAATCCCCAGCCCCTCATTGGAATTTGAAGTGTATTTTCCTCTGGGTCTTTAGTTTGCTAACTATAGATCTTGGGACTTAACCTCCACAGAATCATTAAGGTAGTTTTTTATAATATATCTCTTTATGTCTGTGTATGAACACTTCGTATTGATTCATTTTCTCTGGAGAATGCTAATACAGTTGGATCCTAAATTTGATTAAATATAGTAATTAAGGATGCCTTCTACGCAAAGCATGATAGATTTAGGGAGTGTTCACACCAGTCAGAGTCAGGGAATAAGCAGTACCTTAAAAGATGCTACTGTTGTATACCAGGATAGCTATTTCAGAGTGAAGGCTGAGATCAGAGTTTCTAGGCCAGATGGGACAGTGCTGTATGCAACCTTTGTACCCTAGGATAGGTTTCTTTATCTGTAAAATGGGTTGATTTGACTAGGTGATTTCAAAGACCTCTTCTGTTTCTGTAGTTCTAAAATACTGATTCTTCTGTTTCAGTGAGAAAAGGTGGCCTGTGGTACAAATAATCAGATTTTCCAGCAAAGGGCTTAAACATAGTAATGTCTGATTCTAAGAGAGCTGACTTTGCCTTAAAAAACATAATCTGATGATTGGTTTCCCAGGCTGTAATATTTTGTTGCATAAAGGGTGAGCTTTGCATTTCTGTAGAATTTGAAGCCAAGATCGGGAAACATTGCCTTCTGAAATACAAATGTACACATTCGTTGAAGAAGTTCATCTGCCTGCTGAATTGACTTGGGTGGATGTAGAGATAATACCGTATGTATCCTGACATTCAGTAAGGGATCTGAGTCTCTGGGAGAAAAGTCTTCAATATAAAGTGTAACAAGAGGATCATAAACCCATAGTTTGTGAAAAGATTTCTTATCTTTGATGAGGAAGAATTGTATAGCAGGATATTTCAGCTTAGGTATTATTGACAAGTGGATACTGGGGCACTCTCAGTAATTTAGTTCTAATTTAGTTTTAAGGAAGTGAGAGACAGTAAACCTGGCAGTCCTAAGTAATCTGGTTTCTAGAAAAGCAGACCCTGATATAGTGATGGGAGTAACATACTGCCTTTCCACCTAACTCCTTTGCTTAAATTTAGTGCTGACCTTTCAGCCTTCTGATTATAAACATAGCTCCTCTAGCATAATCTTAGTCCAGGGGTGCCTGAGGAAGTATAAAAGAGTAGTCTCACTATAGAACATAGTAAATTGTTTCCATTTGGCTATCAGGTGGATGATGTGAAACTGTCCCTAAGGGCCCATCAAATGTATATCCTAGCAGAACCTGGGACCTGCCTCCCTCATTTTCTTTTTCTGTGGCTGCCTCAGCCACAGCAGAGTCTCATGAGAGAAATGATTCCCTAAATGACTATAGCATTTTAGAGAATGGAAAAACAAACTGTGCCTGTTGGAAGAAACTTGTTCAGAGATAGTCAAGGATGACGTTTTATGAAGATATAGCTTGAAATGCAGCAAATAAGGTTGGCTTGACTGAAATATAGGTTATCATAGAAGACTGGATAAAATATATGTCTACTGTATGTGGTTTGGCCCCCAAACTCTCCAGTATTGAATGAATGAAGTTAAACCTTGAATATTTTAAGATAGCTCTGTTTTGATGAATTAATACTAAATAGTGAGTGAAACACAGTTACCTTTTCCTAAGAATTGTATGACAATAGTTGTATAACCTTTGTTGAAAGGGTATTGTAATCTTTGTTGCCTATTTATAAATTTCTGATTTTTTTTAAATCCAGAGAGTACATTGTAAAACAGTGTTTGTGACACAGTAACCATTTGTTTCAGAAAAATGAAAACTCACAGATTACTATTACTGTATTAGGAAAAAAAAGAGAATAAAATTATCTATACATTCTATTAGCTTGAGAATCATTATCCATTCTTGTTGTTGATCCTTCCAGAGTTCTATACTTTATGTTCTATGCCTCCATGGTGTTTAATTTTATAAAACTAGGATCAAACATACAAGTGTTTTCTAACCTGCCTCCTTCTCTAAAATTTCCCTTGCAATAAAAATCTTCTTATGACTGAGACGTGGTATCCTGTATTAGGCCCTAGTTTCTCTGTCTTTTTGGGCACCTCACATGCTGGTAGTAATTGCAGTGATGCTCTTGTTTGTATTTTCAGGTTGGCAGCCTCGATGGTTCCTTCTGTGTGGAGGAATATTATCCTATTATGATTCTCCTGAAGATGCCTGGAAAGGTTGCAAAGGGAGCATCCAAATGGCAGTCTGTGAAATTCAAGGTAAGAGACCAAACAACTTGCAGGTTTTATTTTTCTGTCTCTGAAAAAAATTTTAAAAGTACCAGCCTCTACATACCTTTCTCTGCTGCTCCTACAGTATAGATCAAGATACACAGTGTGGTTTCTTTGCAAGAAAACCTGGCAAATACAACATACAACTGCAGCCAACTTTTATAAGGAGATGGTTTAAGAAGTGGTCCAGATGAACAAGAGCAATGTGCCTCACTGCTCAGCTAGTACTCATTCCTTAGTCACCTGCTCACCTGGGCCCAGTAGCTGTTTGCAAAGTTTAAATCTTTACTGCAGCACCAAACATTCCTGTGTTTAAATGAGGGCAAACATACCCACACACTCACCCCCACCACCCTAAACAAAATAACCAGAATTCTAGCAGATCTAAAAATAGTTGTCTGGGTTTTAGAATCTTGAGACATTCAGAGGTGTAACTCAGAAAAAAAAAAATAGATTAGATGGGTATGTGACTAAGGAGAATGTAGTTTGCTTATTTCTTCTCCTAAAGGGTTCTGAGAGAATTTTTATACTTTGGTCTGACTTGTCAAGGGAAGTAAGAGAAGAAAAGTAGTACACTCTTGATTGCTTCCCAATAAATCCCAAAAAGATAAAGAATGTATCCTTAGCCAGGCGTGGTGGCTCATGCCTGTAATCCCAGCACTCAGGAGGCTGAGGCAGGTGGATCACTGAGTTTGAGGCCAGCCTCAGCTACAAAGTGAGTTCAAGGCCACCCTGAAGTGCATAGTGAAACCCTGTTTCAATAAGACAAAAAAAAAGGTATCCTTGCTTATTGGCATGCATATTAGACCATTTTCCATTGCTACAATAAAATACCTGAAGCTAGGTAATATATAAAGAGCTTTATGTAGCTAACAGTTTTGGAGGTTCAAATTCTAAATACCATGGTGCTAGCACTGGTGAGGGCCCCTGGGATATGTCACACATGGAAAATGGCATCATAGTGGGAGCTTGTGTGAGAAGCAGAGATTACATGGTGAAACAGGAAGCCAGAAAGACTGTGGAAAAGCCGGTTCTTGTTCTTTTATGATAAAGAACCACACTAACTCCCTGAAGGCAGTGCTGCCAATGACCTCCCCCACTGCTCTACCTCATAAACATCCTGCACCACTTAACACTGCTGCACTAGGGACTAAGCTTTTAACACATGAACCCTTAGGGGTTCCATCTTTTTCTTTGGACTGGGGAAATCCAAACCATAACAACATGCAAGCCTATTTGACATCAGAGCAGAATATTTTATATACATACAGCCAAAAGAAAGATGTCTTGTCCATTCTGATAGAAGATTAAATTGAGTGATTTTTTTTTTTTTTTTTATATGGGTCAAACATTTGGTGATGGTTTGGAGCTAATTAAAAGGGTTTCCTTTTTTGATCAACAGAACTGTATAGGAAAAGAGAAGTACACGAACTTCGTGTTGACTAGAAGTTACAAGGGCTGACCTCTTCTGTCTGGGAAGAAGCTTTCAGGAACTGGCACTAGTTGAGGTCAAAAAGTTGAGTGGGGTGGAGACCACTCAGAGTGCTTCTAGGTCTCTGACCTCACTCTGCCTTGCTCCCAGTTCATTCTGTAGATAATACCCGAATGGACCTGATAATCCCTGGGGAACAGTATTTCTACCTGAAGGCCAGAAGTGTGGCTGAGAGACAGCGGTGGCTGGTAGCCCTGGGGTCAGCAAAAGCTTGCCTGACAGACAGTAGGACTCAGAAGGAGAAAGGCAAGTATTAATTGTCTTCTAGTCTGGGAGCCTTGGGACTCACCCATTGACATCTCTATGTTCCCTTTTTTTTTTTTAAATTTATATTGTCTCTGATGCCTACCAGGCCTTTTATATCATTTACATGCTATGTCACAGTAGAGCTTATACCAGATATAAGCTTATAATTCTACCTTCTTAGCTTATACCAGATATAAGCTTATAATTCTACCTTCTTAGCATATTGTAGTGGAAAAAGTACAGACTTTGGAGCCAGACACAAGTGGGTCCAAGTAGTGGCTTTGTAGTTTATTGGCTCTTTGGTTTGGCATAGGTCACTTAAATTTTTTGAGCTTTAGTTACCTCATCTTTGAAAAAGAGGAGACAGTACCTACCTTGGAGGGATTACTGTGAGGATTAGTGATAACGTAGAAGGAACAGTGTAATACCTAGTCAGGCACCAAATTATAGTACCCACTTAGGCACAGACTTTGGCAAAGAGTAGCTAAGTCAGAAAAACTCAGTATGTTTTTGGTAGTAGTACTTTGTTTTCCCTTTCCTTTCTTTTAGGTGGGATGGATGCCTAATGTCAGGTTGCTGCTGCTTAGTGTTAACTTGATATCATTATGTCTCCTGAAACCTTGGCCCAATTCTCTCATTGGACTGGGGCAAAAATGCCAGGGCTTACTGCATGGGTCCTTCTTGTTGCTGTCCCGGCTCCACAGTTCTGTGTGTGCAACTGAAGAGATTGGGTGGGCAAAGGAAAGGGGGAGGTGGAGGGAGATTGTTCCAGGGGAACATTTCTCATGATAGTTGTGGTGGCTGTTTCTCTTTTCAGGTAGACTCAGTAAAATGGCCTCTTCATTGGTTGTTTTTGATACAAAATCAGGAACAAATCCTAGAAACCATCAGCTTTGACTCCAAACAGATGGTAATAGGCAGTATTTCCATTGAGAAGGAACAGGGGTGATAGTAATTGTAGCTGAGCCTGCAGCACCAGAGTGGCTAGAGTGCCTTGCTATTATTAATGGCTATGTGCCATTAGCCTTGATAGGCAGCATAACCCGTCCTTAGCCAGAATAAGACACTGTGTTCTTGATAGTGATTGGATATGACAGAACACTTTTTCCCAGGTATGAACAGTGCAGTAGGAGATAGATCACTCTGATCCCATCTTAAAACTCAGTGTAGCAGAATTGAGACCAGAGCTCTGAACTCTACTTTGCTGCCAGTTTTGATAGGAGATCCAGATGGAATGTTCGCTCCTCTCCCTGTGCCAGTTATTATTTAGTATGTTGTCTCAAGAAGCAATGTGTTTTACTTCAGAAGACTGGAAATACCCTTTACCTGTCCTTATTGTCCCTTCATCTTTGTCACATCTGTAACACATACGATAAATCTATGTTATATATTCTACTTCTGCATTATACTGAGATTTCTTATTCATTCTGGTAACTACACTACTATAATTTTATTATTCAGAATTTGCTGAAAACACTGAAAACTTGAAAACCAAAATGTCAGAACTAAGACTCTACTGTGACCTCCTTGTTCAGCAAGTAGATAAAACAAAAGAAGTGACCACAACTGGTGTGTCTAATTCTGAGGTAAAATGTTGTAGTAATATTATTGCTATTATACATGAAAGTATAAGTAATATTAGATTGCTCACAGGTGATGTTTGTTCTCACAGAATTCCTGACTATAATAGAATTTGCTATTTTTTTAGAAGAAAAAATAACAAAATTCTACAAAGAAATGTGTGCTTTGCAGCATATGGAAGCATACAGTTTTCCTTCCTGGAATGAATTCAGGCTTAGTACTGACATACTGAAGTATGGTTCTCTCTCTTTATATCACTTCTTTTGTCAGTACTGGAGATTGAATCCAGGCCTTGGCACTGAGCTACACCCTGCCCTTTTTATTTTTTAGGCTCATGATCCTCCTGCTTCAGTGTGCCAAGTAACTAGGATTATAGGCATGCACTACTTCACCTGGCCATGTGTATTGCATTTTAAAAATAGAGTCTTACCTGTCTTACAGAACCATTTCCTAGGTGCAGTTATAAGGTGTTAGTCGTGTGTCTGTCAATAGTATATATCTGTCATCTTTGGTGAGACTAACTGCATTTTATTTCACTATAGTAATTGTGCTTTGGAGTAGATGTGTGTTTTCAGAGATGGAGGCACAACTTTATTCTCTATCAACAAGAATTGTGATTTTTAACATTTATTGATAGAATTGTCATTCACTAATCCTAAAACACATTAAAAGATTTCTGTGGTGTTAACCTGTGTATTGAATGGTTCACATTAAACTGAGAGTATCTCTGCTTTCAAAGAAGTTATAACTTCATGAATGATATCTACAACATGAAGAATGTGCAGATTGTACTTAATGTTTTAATTCATTTTTTTAGGTAATAGAATACCATGCTACTAGTAGTATATGTGGTTTGAGGTCTTTCTTATAAAGGTGATTTAACTCAGTTTCATTTACGCACCTCCTTTTGGGCTCTCTTATGCATTCATCAGTGTTGTGTTGTGTGTAATCTCTGTGCTTGTGGGTTGGGGCAGGTAGAGAACCAAAACATCAGTTATATTATTGCAAAGTCTGGAGCAGTTATTGTCAGCCTGAGCACCTATGCCCCTAAAAGACATTTGGTAGTGTCTGGAAATGATTTTGGTTGTCATGGTTGAGGGAGTGCCACTGGCACCTAGGGGCAGAAGCCAAGATGCTGCTTAACATCTTATAGTGAACAGGAGAGCTGCACCCTGCCTCTGCCTGTTAACCAGTCCAGAGTATCTGTGGTGCTGAGTAGAAAAGCCCTGATGATGAAAAAAGAGAAAATGTGACCACAGCAATCTTTAATTGAGGAAGGAATGTACATATAGCAAGTGCTGTGGAAACTTGCTAATGAAAAGTATGGTCTGTCACCTGGCGGTGTTAGAAACACAAAGTGAAAGAAATGTAGAGACCACTAAGATGTGGTCTTTCACTCTCTAGTCAGAGTGTTAACAAGTAAACTAACTTTTAGTAGCAGAAAAAAAAAAAATCAATTTATTGTTTAAAGGAATTCCAGTTGTTGAAACCTCTTGGTGTTCCATACTGAAAGCAAATGTTGTGTAGTTCCTGGAAGCTTCACATGAAGTCAGTGCCCAGCACCTGGCACAATGCTGTCTTACAGTGTTGCTTCCTTTAGCTGCAGTGAATTTAAATTGGTGAAAGGGAAGCATCAGATTGACAAAGGTATTGTGCATGGCAAATGGGTAGATTGGGCTAGTTGCATTTTTTTTTTCTTTTGTAACTGATATATTTGCCCAGCAAAACAGTTGAGTACAGTATCTTGTTAATAATTTGTGGATAAAAGCCTTAAAAGACATAATGTAATTGGACTTTTTATTTTTTGGTGAGACAAGCATTTTCCACTTTTTTTGTTATGGTGGTTGTTTGTTTTTTGTAGGAGGGAATCGACGTGGGTACTGTGCTGAAATCAACTTGCAATACTTTTCTAAAGACCTTGGAAGAATGCATGCAGATTGCCAATGCAGCCTTCACCTCCGAATTGCTTTATCACACTCCCCCTGGATCACCACAGCTGGCCATGGTCAAGTCAAGCAAGGTAAAAGGCCAGCCCAGTTTGTCTGCAACAGGGTTAATTTAGTTAGCTTTTATGTTGCTAAAACAAATACCTGATACGTGCGACTTTACGGAGGTGCAGTTTATTTGGCTCACAGTTCCAGATGGTTCCATTCCTGGTTAACTAGCTCCCCACCAGAAATGGCAAGCAGCAAAGGAAAGCTGTTCACTCCAGGGCTGCCAGGAAATAGAGAGAGAAGGAAAGAAAAAGAAAGCTCTATCTTACAAGTCATGCCCCCAGTGGTCCACTTCCTCCAGCTGGGCCCCACCACCTCATAGTACATTCAGCTAGGAACTCACCAGTGGATTCATCCAAGAGAAGTACAGCACCCCATGATTCAGTCACCTTCCAGAAGGCCCACTCCTGAACACCTGAGACTTTGGGGGACACTTCAGATGTAAGCCATAACAAAGATACAATGAAAAGCTGAGAAGTCTAAGCCTTTGATGATTGATAAAGACATTTTTTAGTGGACTTCACTTTATGTCCATTTTCATATCTGATTTCAGTCTTCCATATCTAGGCAACTATTTTGGCAGTTTGACCATGTACACACATCTTCAATGTAGCCTCTTCTTTCTAACTTCCTTGTTCAAGGAATTTAGCCTAGAGTAGTCTGACTAGTTACCTTCAGGCTGACCCAATCAGCAAATAGTATTTATATTGATATAATGTAAATTGGATCACTTTACCTAAACTGTGCAGTGGCTCTCTCATTATATATACATTAAAGCTAAAATTTTTTAACCCAGTCTCATATTACCAGCCTCTTTCCCTAATATTACCTGGCTTAGCATATTAATGCATCATTCTCTCCCCACACATACACTGTCTTTTATGTCATAACCCAGTGCCAAGAATGCCCATCCCAGTTCTTTCCCACATTAGCTCTTACTCATCTTCTGTTCATATTTTCTCCAGATCTTTAGGTTGAACTAAGAGCTTCCTCATTTACATTGTCGTGTTTTAGCTCTATTCTTTATTGAAATTAGTTTAAGGGCGGGAACCCTGTAGTGTTTACCATACTGCTCATGTCAATATGATACCTGAGTCTTGGTTTCCTATCTATTAATCTTTAATAAACATAACTGAATTACAGAACCAGTCACCAAGAGTTTGGCTATGGTGCTTAGGTCTTTCATTTATTTATTTTTTTTTTTTGTGGTTTTTCTCCGGTACCGGGAACCGAACTCACGACCTTGCGCTTGCCAGGCAGGCGCTTTTGCCACTGAGCTAAATCCCCAGCTCCAGTGCTTAGGTCTTTCAAAGGTCATTTTCCTTTTCCTCAGAAATTTGGGTGCCCTTATTTGAATTAATGAAAAGGGCAAATAGTGACCAATGACTCTTGCTTTGGGATGACTTAAAATTGTATTGAGTGGGACAGTATATATTATAGGCATATTTACCACTTTCTTGTATGATAAAATTCTAAGTAATGCTCTTCTTTGCTACTTTTAAAGATGAAACATCCTGTTGTACCAATTCACAATTCACTGGAAAGGTATGGTAATCTTTGTTTGTTTTTCTTCTTCCAAAAATAAATATGGATATACTTACTCCTTGTTGGTGGGGGAGGCTGACATTTTGATCTTAAGGTGGTTTTTCTCATGATTTGAGGTGATACTAGAAGGAAACTATCTCACTTTCCTGTTTTGGGTGAATCTAAAACAATATAGACCATGGTTCAGCACTAATGGGGAAATGTTGACATTTGCCGTAGGACATAGCTCCCACCCATCCATCTCTAGAGTTAATGAGGATTAGAATTTCTCTTACATAGAGCCTGAGTATTAATTTCAATGTATTTGTCCAGAAAAGGCAGCAGTGCTATTCTGTTTTGTTTAGAAATAAAAATCTCAAGTAGTAGCTTTATAGGATGAAGAAATAGTTTTATATCAAAATAAATTATTTCTGTTCAGCTAAACATACCTTCAGTTAAAAAAAAGTACATGCTGGGCTGGGAAATGTTACTTAGTACTATACCACTTGCCTAACATACATGAGGCCCTCGGTTTGATCCCTCAGCACTGCAAAAAAAAAAAAAAAAAAAGGTATATATTGATATGGTTACATATGTTATATAGGCATTTTTATATGTTGACATAGTCCAGGTACTTGTTCTTTCTATTTTAGTATATGTGCTGCTGAATCAAGCACTTGTTCTTTCAAATTGTTATATATCCTGTATAAACTGTTGCTTGCTTATTCCAAGGATTCTTCACAATTTGGTTGTTTCTAATTTTCTCGTTTTCTAAGTATTTCTACTGAGGAAATCTTTGTATTTTTTTCTTTTGAGTTACTCCTGCTATATACTCACGTTCTGAATTGCTAGATTGAAATGTAATTTTTTTTTTTTTTTTTTTTTAGAAAACAGCAAATGCTTTTCCTAAACTTGCCATATAGCTTGAGCTCTTCTTATTTTTATTAGAAGAAAATACCTTTGTGCTAATTTGCCTAGGTATAATCACCTATAATGAGTATTATGATTGTCCCATTAACAGAGTGAGCTATTTCACTTGATTGTTAAATAGGTTTTTTCTATTACTTTGAAGTGTGGCAGGTTCCTGAGGATGTGTTGTGGTCCTCTTGGGTGTTTTTCTTGCTGGTAGAAAACTGGGTATTGGATAGTGGGTGCGCTGACCACAGCATGTAGCTTCTAGGCAGTTAACTGCCAAGTAAATTCATGGAAGTGGCTAGTGGTTGAGAAAAAGCCTCCTGCAGAGAAGTTTAAGAAAGTCAAAGTGTTAAATCTGAAACTTAAGATAGCTGATTGAAGTCAGAGGGCTGTCAATGGCTATTTCCTAATGCTGGTGGGGAGCAGGAAAATTGAGTTAGCTAAGGATACAGGAAGAGTGATTAAGCTCTTGATTTCTGAACCACAGCCTTGAGACAGGTCTGCTTCCTATCATAGGCAGATGCCTTTCTTGGTGTCTGTGGGAGACTATGAGGTTTAACTTAGTTTAACAATTCTGTTTTTAGTGTTAAAAGGATTTGGTGATTGTGATCTCTTTCCCTATTCATCTAAATAACATCTGCCCAAGAAACCTATACCCAAATCACTGGACTTTCTGGCTTTTGTCTTTTAAAAAATATTTTAGGCAAATGGAGTTGAACAGTTGTGAAAATGGACCTTTAAATATGGAAATAAATGGTGATGAAGAAATCCTAATGAAAAACAAGAGCCCTTTATATTTGAAATCTGCAGAGATAGACTGTAGCATATCAAGTGAAGAAAATACAGAGGAGAATATAACAGGTAAAAACAGAAGTAAAATCTGAAACCATTAACAATAGGAAATTTGGGGGTTTGATTTTTACCCATGATGGGGTACACGGTAGGGATTAGCATGGAGACAGTAGCTTCACTGACAGCATTCTGTCCATCCATCTGCCCCAGTGTTAAGAAGGAAATTCAGAGATTTATGTGTTAACCCTAGAACATCTTAGTTGTTAACTAAGAAAAATAAAGCACACACCACTGAAATTTCATCTCTTTTTTTTTTTTAATTTTTTTTTTTTTTTTTTGGTTTTTCTCCGGTACTGGGAACCGAACTCACAACCTTGCGCTTGCCAGGCAGGCACTTTTTGCCGCTGAGCTAAATCCCCAGCCCCTGAAATTTCATCTCTTAAATAATAAAGACAGGAGAATTTCTGTCAAAACATACTGTCATATATTTGACCCAACAATTTTATTTCTAGGAATTTGCTTTTAGAAACTAGTCAGATTTAAGGACAATGGTCAAATTTAAGGGATGTTCTTTATGGCATTCCAGTCAGTTCTAATTATTTATGGTAGTTATGTCACCAGGGTCTAAGAGGTTCCCAAGTGGAAATAAGGAACTTAATGCACTATTTTGTAGAGTAAGTTTGCAAGCTCGCTGAGTGCCATCTTGGAAGAAATCTTCAGGACATGTTCGTGAGGGGCACAAGAAGGGTTTATTAGGCACAGATTTTGGATGCATTTAAGGGTGAAGTATGGGCACTCAGAGAAATAAGGCATATTGTTTCCTGGAACAGAGAACATTTATGCTTTCTTGAAGTGATGGAAACCTAGGAAAAGGTGGCCATTCCCCAGAAGGGTACTACCTCATTCTACAGGTATGGGTAGTTTTTGCTTTTGTATTTTTTAGTAATTAAAAGACTCTTTGAATCTTTCAACCTGTTCCTTTATCTTAGAATCAGGCTCCTGCTCCTTACTTTCCCAGTTAACCCAATTTGTGGACTTTGGAGTATTCCTAAGAAATTTTGGGTGTAATGGCTCTTGGTAGGGAAGGAATCTAAGTTTAATCAATAGAATGGTGATATGGATCTTCCTGGGGAACTTCGACTGATGCCCAAAAATTGCAGTCTTCTTAAATGTACAATTTGTAGTTAAGAGTTCATCTCTTTTCTACCCACTTTTTTATTTCTTCTGTCCTGCCTCAGTTATGTTTTATAAAGTCACCCAAATATTAAATTTGCAAATAGTGCTGTTGCTTCCAGAGGAAATAACAAAATGAGCTCCCTTCAAGACTCTGGTCACATTTTTGTTGACCAATCAATATATAACCTTGTTTTATATGTGTCCCCATTTAAAGACACCACATTCATATGTATTTTTAATTCACTAGCATTAAACTCATAGCCAATAGCACTATAATCAGTGCCTGAAAGAAGTTTATCTAACAGACATATTTTGTTCCTAAAGCATATTTTAGCATTTTGTATATATATATATATGTTAAACAGTACTACAGGTGAGGACCCTTTTAAGAAGCATAAACATAGGGGGGCATAGTGGTATATGCCTATATTCCCAGTTAAGGCAGGAGGATCACAAGATAAAGCCAGCCTAAGCAATTTAGTAAGACCCTGTCTCAAAATAAAATTTTACAAGGCTTTGGATGTAACTCACTGGTAAGCATGCTTGCCTAGCATGTGTGTGGCCCTGGGTTCAATCTGCAGAACAAAAGAGCACAAACATGCAAAATATGTGCTATTAAAGAAGGACATTTATTTATAGTATGAGAACTGAAACAAGGAGAGCATTACCTTGTTTCACCTCAGCTAGGAATGTGCATGTCATGTGACAAATTTTCACCACTCTCCAGATGTCAATGAATGACTAGAAAGTGCTAACAGTATTGATTTTAGAGTTAAAAATTTTAGCAAGTAAGCAAAGTCACAAATACCAAATATGCTTAGAATGAAGGTTGACTATATTTATAATAGAAGTTTGAAAGTTATCTAAATTTTGTTTATGTGGTCGTGACGCAGTATTACATCGTCGTTAAAATAATGTCTTTCAACAACATTGAATGATAATGGAAATACTCATGAAACACTGTTTAGTGAAAATAACCAGAATAATATCTAGTATTTAAGCCCAATTTTGTTTGAATATGTATGTATGTATTGTACAGTATTTCAGATTTTTGTTTTTCTCTATTTTCAGTGTTTTACCAATTTTCACCAATGACTATGTATTAATTTTTTTAGTTTTATTAGTACATGTTTGTAACACATTTATTACATTCCTGTGGGGACTTGGCACATGTAAAATAACCATCTTAATTCTTTACTCTAACCTCCCCCTCATCTCTTGGTATCCTTCCCATTTGTAAAAGATCTGTATAATAGATTAGTGATGGTATCTTCTACTTTGTAGTTCAAGGTGAAATAATGAAGGAAGATGGAGAAGAAAACTTGGGAAGTCATGACAGCAACATGGCAGAGCCTAGATCAGACTCTTCAGATTGCTCTCCAGAATCCCTCTGGGAAGAAGGAAAAGAAGTCATCCCAACTTTCTTCAGTACTATGAACACCAGGTAGGATAAACCCTCTAAAATCATTCACAGTTGGGTATTAGTTTCCCTTCTGGAGCATCATCCATTGAGGTACTTTTAAGCAATGGTGTATTCTGAGAGAGTAGAGGACTTGATACACCAAGTTATCTACCTTACCTTGTCTGAATAGTGGGTGAGAAGGAGTTTGGATGGTGAAGAGAATTGCTATATGAACAAATGTTAAATTGTTTTGGTGAATTATCTTGGGAAAATTATCTTCATGGACCATTTTATAATTTTAACAGAATCACTCAGGGATGTCCATGAAATCAGGACAGGTAGTTTGCCCTACACAGTAGCAGCTGTGTTTAGGACTATCTTTGAACTGCAGAGAATGCTGATGTATTTTCAATCTTTCCTCCTGATTTCACCAAATTTTTAAGCTTTAGTGACATTGAACTTCTGGAAGACTGTGGCATTCCCACAGAAGCGTTTTTGGCATCGTGTTATGCTGTGGTTCCAGTATTAGGTAAGATTTCTGCAGTTATCTTACACTCATTAGTTTCTAGAATGTCTTACTGCATTATTTTTCAGAATAAATATAGTGAGACCACCCTTCATATGGCCAGACACATAAAGTTAAAATTGTATTTCCATAAAGCATTAAGGCGTGTTACCATTTCATGTCTAATATAACTGAATATTATCTCAGAGTAGTGTAATGAAAAAAGACAATTCTGCTTTCTAGAAAGTGTATCTAAAAGTATAAGTGAAAATAGTTGAGGGACAGGTCTGCAAACCTATTGGTACTATGAAAAATAAAATTTACCAGTTAAAACAAAGATTAAAAAACAATTACAAGCTAGAAATGGTGGTGCATGCCTATAATCTTAGCTACTCAGAAGGCAGAGGCAAGAGAACCATAAGTTCAAGTTCTGCCTAGGCATCTTCGCAAGACCCTGTCTCAAAATTTTAGAAAGACGGGATATAGCTCAGTAATGGAGTGTTTATATTAAGTACATGTGAGGCCCTGGGTTAATCCTCAGAAAAAAAAAAAAATGTGTGTGTAAATTTATTTAAATTCAAATCTGTTTAATTTAAAGTCAGTAATACCAGCAATTGAACTGTCAATTTTTAAGCATTTAGGTATAACTTACAGAACTGAAATGTTACAATTCAGTTTTGATAAATACACCTATATAATTTGCCTATACCTATATAATTTGTATATACAAAATAAGGAACATTTTCATCACCCCAGAACATTCCCTGTGATAGTTGGTCCCCAATCCTCTGCTCAGTCTGAGGCAGTAATTTTATTGATTTCTGTCACATTAGGTTAGTTTTGCCTGTTCAAAAACTTCACATAAATGGAGTCATATACTCTTGCATCTGGCTTTTCTCACTTAGCATGTTTCTGAGATTCATCCTTGTTGCATATATCAGTGGTTCGTTCCTTTTTATTACTGACTCATTAAATGACTATACCATAATTCATTTCTTCATTCCGTTGGACAACTGGATAGTTTCTGTTACAAAGTTTCCCTGAATATTTTTGTGTTTGTGGGCATATGGTTTTTTTTCTTTTGAGTAAATACTTTGGATCGGGATTGCCGTTTAACTTTATTAATAAATTGCCAAACTGTTGATTGCGTGGTTGCATGACTGCACACGTCCAGTAGCTGCATAAAAGTATTCTGGGTGCTTCACATCTTCAGTAGCATTTGGCAGTGTTAGTATCTTTTGTTTTGGCCATTCCTCTGAATGTTTAATGGCATCTCATTATCGCTTTAATTTGCATTTCCCTGATGGCTAATGATGTTGAAACACTTTTTCATGTGATTATTGGTATTGCTGTCTCTTCTGTTGTAAAGTCTGTCCAAATCTTTAACCCATTTTAAAAAGTTGATTATTTTTTCTGCTTACTAGTTAGTAGGAGTTCTTTATATATTCCATTGTATATCATGAATATTTTCCCTCAGACTGTGGTTTACCTATCTCTTAAGATGTCTTTTGAAAACCAGAAGTTTGATTTTGATGAAATTCAACTTATTCTTTTATAGTTAATGTTTCTCATGTTCTAAGAACTCTTCATTTGTTACAACCAGAGGTCATAAAATATTCTATTTTCTTGTCTAAACTTAATTTTTACACTTATGTCTGTCATCCATTTGGAATTACTTTGTAGGAGTGCAGGATTTGAGGTTCATTTTTATTTTCCTTATAATAATCTGATTATTCAAGAATTATTTATCAAAAACTCAGTATTTTCTCTTTTACGGGTTTCTGGCAGTTTTGCAGAAAACCAGTTGACTGTTCAGTGAGCTTATTTCTGAACTCTTTTCTGTTCCAGTTATCTGTGTATTTCCTTATACCAATATTGCAGTGTTATAAATCAGATAATGCAAATCTTCCAGTTTTGTTCTTATTTGAGATTGTTTTGGCAATTCTATCTAGATCTTTTACACGTGTTTATAAATTTTAGCTTTTCAGCTTCTTTTAAAAATCCTTTTAATTCAGGTTACATTGTGTTTGTAAACCAATTAGGGGAAAATTGCTATCTTGAACAACACTGAGTCCTCCAGTCCCATTCATTCATTCATTTATTCATTCTCTTTCTCTGAATATATACTTAATAAGTCATCTTTATTTTCTCTGTTTTGTACAGTTTTGTCTTATATTAGGAATAAATTTTAGAATTTTGTGGTCTTTGATGTTACTGTAAAAGTTTTATTTTATTTTGCAATTGTTTATTGAGAGCATGTAGATAAATTGATTTTTATTTGCTAAATCTAGAATTGTTTTTGTATAAACATCTTTTTCTATAGTTAATAAAATCATCACATTTTTCCTGTAATTTATTAATACAATGAAATACTAATAATGTAATGATTAATTTTGTCTTCTATTTGGTTCTTCCAGGTTGCTATTTATTTTGTTTTCCAATGTGTTCCTTTGTAATGTCTTTCCTCATTCTTAGCCAAGGGTTAATTATTTCTTTAGTATGCTATTTTGTTTTTACTTTTGACTTTTTAAACTGTTGTATCTTCTTAAAAACTCAAGTTTTTTTTTAAGAATTCCATTATCTTTTCTCTTGTAACCTTTTTAAACTGTACTTTTTTTTCAGTAAAACTAATTTTAGTAAACTTAAATAATTAAAATTGGTAATTATATTTAGCAAACATTTCTAGTAAATATTCAAACCACAAATGTAATATTTTTAGAAGATATATTAAAATAGTAAAACAAAAGTTCTTAATATGTTTTATTAATATAGTATATCCAAAATATCTCAATGTTTGTAGTCAATATAAAAGAATCATTACTGAGCTATTTTGCATTCTTTGGTACTGCAACGTTTGGAATGCACTAACATTTCAACTTACACTGGTCATATTGCAGGTGCTAAATATTCATACTGGACAGTTCAGCCCTAAGGATTTCAAAAATGTATTCTAAGTCTGTAAGATTATCTGCGTCTCATCTGCCATTTAAGACCTCTTTATAGTTACTTACCTCAGTGTAGTGTGATAGAAAAAGGTGATAACAATGTCAAGCTTTTCAACCTAGTTTAGAAAATGATATAGAAAGAAAACTTAGAGTTGTGTGGGGAAAAAGTCTTCCAAATGTATTGCTACTATTAAAAATATTTTGCATTAAAATTTATAAGTGCGTTGCCTGTAATCCTAACACTGTGGGGGCTGAGGCAGAAGGCATGTAAGTTCAAAGCCAGCATGGGGTATATAAATGGGTTCCAAGCCAATCTGCTGTACACCAAGACCTTGTCTCAAGAAATAATTCAAAAAAATTTTGGTCCTTTCTTCCAGATAAACTTGGCCCTACAGTATTTGCTCCTGTTAAAATGGATCTTGTTGGAAATATTAAGGTTTGTATACTGGCTTATCTCTGTAAAAACTTGTAATTAAGGAAAAACATTTTCAATACTTTTGTGTTTAACAAGAATTTAAATCAAAAAGTAAAACAGGTGTTACAGCTCTTTCAAAGAGCAAGAATCCTTGTTCTCACATTGTGAATATTCAGGAGGATAATAATGGCGCCCTTACTTTTTGCTGGAGGCAAGCTGTTTGTGGGGTGGAATGTTTGTTTTAAAGATAAAACCAGCTTTTCTTTTTCATGACCAGAGCATGGATCAGTGGAGATTTACTGTTATGTTAACACTGGTGTTGTGCTTTTTAGGTATAAACAATGACAAGTTGTACATCCCCCTCCCTAAAATGTTAGAGAAAATAATTATCAGTAGTTGGACTCAAAATGTCCAACTTCAGGTGCAGCTGAGGGACTGTCAGCAGCATGGAATCTCTCTGAGCCTCCTCCTTTCCAGTTAAGTTGTGAATACTACTTTTAACAACTTTTAAACTTTGGGTCTCTTTTAATTGTAGATTGAATGTTACTTTCTTGAGACTATAATAAACAAAGATCAGTCTCTTTCATCACTAGAGACCAATCTTTGAGGAAGCAGGATAAAGAATTTCTGCAGACATGCTCACTTTGTATTCTGAAGTAATAGTTGCATGAAGTATGCTCATTGTCCTTGTTGAGTTTTATACTCCAAATGAAAAATGTCTGCTAAACTCAGCTATAGAAGAGGCACCAAGGCAGGAAAAAATGTTTCAGAAATAATAGTTGAAAGCCCTGGGACTAATATTTCATTCTAGTTTAAGCCTCATAGAATTCTCAAACGAGAAGAAAGTGAATAGTCTTTCATTTTTTAGAGGCCTTCTTGCCAAAGTTAAGTCTCAATACTAATACTGATTTGCTTGGTAACTTTAGTGTTTTTAACTTAGGTCATTTCCTTGTTTTTCCTCCAGAAAGTAAATCAGAAGTATATAACCAACAAGGAAGAGTTTACAACCCTCCAGAAAATAGTGCTGCACGAAGTGGAGGCAGAAGTAGCTCAGGTTAGGAACTCAGCTACTGAAGCCCTCCTGTGGCTGAAGAGGTGAGGCGGTTGGTGAGGTAGCAGCTAAAATCCAGCATTATTGAAATGTTACCAGCAAACAACTGTTGTACAGAGACTACTTCTGAAAGAAGAATCTAACTAAATTGTGTTTCCCTTTCTAGAAGACCTAATGAATAGAGCATCAACTTTTTTTTGTATCTCTTTTGGTGGTGATATTATTTATATTAAAATACATACGATAGAAATCTTAAAGGATAGGAAATTCAGTTTTCTCTTTAAGTCAATGGCTTTCCAACTTTAATGGCCTCAGAATTTCCTGAAGGGCTTGTTAAAAACACTGGATGTTAAACTAGAATTTCTGGCTTTTTATATCTGAGATAAGGCCCTGGAATTTATAATGTCTAATAAATCACAAGTGATGCTACAATCCTAGTCCTGGGACCACATTTTGACGAGATCGGGCGCATTCAGGGTGGTATGGCCATAAACCTGGGACCACATTTTGAAAGCAACTACTTTAGGTTTATTAGAAGGGGTAAGGGAAAGGCCAAGAACATCATAAAGGGACCTGACAGGAAAGAAACTCAGAAAAGACTACTGTATGATTTGACCTGTTTACTGCTATGCCTGAGGTAGTACTGAAAGAGGAGCATTGGTATCTGCCATTTTTTATACTCAGTCAGTATAAACAAACCTTGAAAATATTTCTTCCTCTTTTTTATTTCAGAGGTCTCAAATTTTTAAAGGGATTTTTGACAGAAGTGAAAAATGGTGAAAAAGATATCCAGACAGCCCTGAGTAAGTGTTCTTTACATTTTGAGAGATCAGTTGAGTAGTATTTGGAATGGATGCCCCTGAGGGACAAGACAGGGTGTAGGAAATTTCAACTTTTCAAAGTTTGATTTGTTTCTTATTTCACTGTTATGGATCATGTGCTTCCTGTATACTTTGTTTAAAAAGGATTCATGAGCCAGATGGAGTGGTGCTTGACTGTAATCCTAGCAAGAAGAAGACAGAGGCAGGAGGATCACTGCAAGTTTGAGGCCAGCCTGGGCTACATAATGAGTTCAAGGCCAGCCTGGGCTACTTAGCGAGACCGTATCTCCAAAACAATGGGGGGTGCTGCTCATGAGGCAGTGACCTGGCCTAGTTACCTATTAAAAAGCATGAATTAATGGAAAGCCATCCCTTAAATTTCATAGGAAGATATAATATTATTAAGAAGTTAGTTTTCTTAAGTAAATCTTCAAATACAGTACAATCCTCAAATCAGTATTCAAAGAGAATATTTTAGATTCTCTAAAGAGAATACTTCAGAAACCATAAAAGGAATTGCAGGTGGAAATCTTGGGGATTAGTTCTGGAGTGAGATCAAGAGTCAGTCATCACCTTGTACTCCTCAAATGATCTATGTGTCCCATTTTGTATGATACAGCCAAGATTTGGAGAAGGCTTCTTGGGCAAAAGAAACCACCTTTTTTTACAGTATGTCTAGCATCTTGACAGCATCATTGTAGGTGCTTTGTCAGCACTGGACAGATGGGTGGATGACAGATGGATGCATGTATCTCTCAGACCTTACTTTGGAAAATACTAAGACTTGGAGGTATCCTCACAGAATTCCTAATGGAGTGGCTAAACTCTCACGTTGGTCGATAGGAAATTCTTCCAGCGTAGGGCATGAGGCATGTGTGTGGGGAAGAATGAAATACCATATTATTTTGAAGCCCTGTATTACTGTAATTTACATAGTTGAATGTTGAGTGGCCATGATTATGAACAATAAAATAACTAATTAGATGTTTCTGGTAGGGAAGGGAGCCAGTGTTCTGTGTGTCATTTTTTTCAGTTTCACAGATAGATTCTCCTATTAGTCTTCCTTCTGGGCTGTGAATCCTGAGAGATTCTCCCTCCATATGATTTCCCCCCGCTACATGTCTAGAAATTGCTGGTGTTCCATAAAACAATTAGTGTGGACATTTCTGTAGCACTTTGTGGATTTAGATAACTTAATCCTCACATCAGTCTATCTTTATATAATTGGGAATCAAAATTATGAAAGGCTAAAATACTTGCTTCAGACCTCTACAGGGATCTGAGGCAGGAGGCAGTTTGTAACCCTTACCTCAAAACTCGATGTTTTCACAGTCTTCACGATCCCTGACCACCTTCCATTTTTAATTCCCCATAAATCTCTATATGTCTAGGGTAGGTTCAGTTATATTCTCCCCGTTGTTTTGTGCTTTTAAGTACTAGAAGTGTATTCAGCACCTCTACACATGCCCCCTAGTCATTATCTGTGGAATGGTAAGGGGTGAAGAATGACTACTAGGAGCATGGATTGTGAATGGTTCATGGGGTTCTGTCACATACCAACATTGTGCTCTTAGGCAAGTCAGTTAACCTCTCTGTGCCCCCATTTCTTTTATCTATAAAGTGGGACCAGTGATACTATTTCTCTAATAAAGTTGTGAAGATTGTATAGATTCATGCATCTGAAAAAAGTTAGAAAAGTACTGGGCACATAATAAGCACTCAGTAGAAGTTTGTTCCTGTGATTGTTTATACTTTTATCATCATCATCACCACCATCACATGTGAGGTTGATAACCTGCCAGGAAATGGGACTTACTTGTCCCAAATCAGAAATGGCAGGTAAGTTTATAAAACTCAGCTCCCAAACCAGAAGCTTCTCTTCAGACTAACTTCTTAATATGGAGATTTCACAGTGGAAGGATGACATCACCTGTAGGAAATGCAGATTTGGGAATCAGCATTGTGTGCCTATGGACCACACAGTTGCATGCTGCTATGTCTGCGGAGAGGAGGAGAGCAGTGCCAATCCCATTTAGCTTTTGTGGGAGCTGGGGTAAAATGGATGCAGCTGCTCACAGCAAAAGGCTTTGACCCTGTGGGTGGAACAGAGGATATACCTTAGACCCAACCCCCACCCTAGTTTTCTACGTTTTTCTCCTTTAGTTGATACCTTTTATTTCATTTGGAGCCTGGGCCCAGTAGATGTGGACTCAGAGGAAAGCAGAGAGTTTAACAAGCAAAAGCTGCTTTGTGACTGCATTAATCATGGCTGATCTCAGCTCTTCCTTTCTTCCCTTACCCTACAGCACTATTTTCAGTGCTGAAAAGGAGGCTGTGGATTTGATATTTTAATTCTGAAGTTCATGTTCATTTCAAATGTGGTTTTCTTGATTAAAATCATTTCTTTGATTGTAGTAATCTCTAATTTCCTGCTGCTCTTCATTGAGAAGAGATGAAATGCGCCTAACCAATTTACTCTTCCTCCCCTCCAGACACAGGCATAAGAAGCTCTGTGCAAAAAAATGTGGTTTATTGAGACTTGTTTACAAAGACCCCATAGGCTAGGCTCAGTGCACATTTCTTGTGGGATAAAGGCTTTTCTTTTCTCATTTTAAAGTCACAGACTTTATAAGTGGAACTGATACCTTGTCTGAAATGAAAGATGGTGGATATGTAGAGAAAACAGACGGAGTGTGCTATTTATGTGCCATATACAGGCAAATTAGCATTTTTTTTCTTAATTCTAAAATTCATTTACTGTGATAATGGCTACTGTTAAAGAGTACCCAGTGTAGACCAGGTGTGGTGGCACATGACTATAATCTCAGTGCTCAAGAGGCTGAGGCAGTTGGATTGCTTTGAGTTGAAGGTCAGCCTGAACTGCATAGTGAAACCCTGTGTCAAAAAGACCAAAAAAAATAAGAGTACAGTATAATATTTGTACTAAGTTCTTTTTTATTTTTTCCCTTTTGGCATTGGGAATTGAACTCGGGAACCTTGCGCTTGCCAGGCAGGCGCTTGTGCCGCTGAGCTATATCCCCAGCCCCTAAGTTGTTGACAAACATTAATCTTCCAAATAAATTGGGTTGAAGAGGGTGAGTACCTTCCCTAGGGCTTAAAAACCTAGATCACTGGTTGCTACTTTGGCCCCAGGACAGCATTTTATGTACTTGGAAATTTACTAGAGTGGAGCCTGGCAGTGTTTTAAGCAGTTTTCAGGGAGAGTTTGGTCCATACTGAAGCTTGAGGCCTGCATATCTACCAGTAGACCTAGGACATTGAAGCTCACCTGCCACTTGACTACATCTTGATTAGTTTTTTTCCCCTGCCTGTATCTGAGGGGTTATTAATAAGCAAGAGATTAGTCGTAGCATCAGTTAATTTTGCCTCCTTTTCATCATGCTTAGGTAGCTTTTCAGTAAAACACTGCTTAAGAAATGTTTTGAAGTAAATGCTGTAAAACTTTTATAGTTGTAGTGGCCTTGGAGTTGGGTGATAGCATGTCACAATCCTAAATGACATATTGGAGGCAGGTGTGATGGTGCATGCCTGTAATACCAGCACTCAGAAGGCTGAGGCAGGAGGACCACTGTTGTTCTGAGGCCAACCTGGGCTACATAGTAAGTTCAAGACCAGTCTAGACTACATAGTAATACCTTATCTCAAAGGAAAAAAATAACACACTGGAATGATTGATGTGTATTAGCTTTCTGGAAAATATCTGTTATATTTTATTCCTGCATATAACCTGGAAGAACTTCCACTACGTGAAAAGAGGCCTGATGCTTCAAACTGTCCCCTTTGTACTCACTTGGGCCGTGAGTTAAATGCCCTATAATAATAATCAGAGTATAACATCTTGGTTAGTCTCATACCAACAGTTCCTCTGTACTGGTAACATCCTCTGTCACACAGTAGAGGTCATTTGAAAGAAAGAATTGAGTCTTGAAGGCAGATATAGTTAATAGTCTGCCCTAGGACTGAACCTCTCTATTTGTAGATGCCACATCAAAAAGGTTTTAGAAAGCACCCTTGTAAGTAGAAGGAAGAAAAGTTGCTCTGGCATTTCATGCACCATTGTACTAAATGTTGTGTGCTCTGTCCTGTTCTTTCAGCAGGATAGCATATAGCTGCATCTCTCACTTCAGAATGATTCATAAATGTCAAGGAAAGATTAACCCTAGGAAGATCTCTGGCCCAGAACAGGAAAAAACTTAAAGGATGCTCAGTCATGTATTAACATAAAAGACAAGGAGAACTAAGTGAGAAAAAGAACTCATACTCACATATTTAATATCAAATTATAACTTGACTATTCTGAAAGCACTGTGGAACATGAATCAAGTCATGCCCTCTCCAAAGCCACTTACAGCATGTGTCTGCATTGGCGGGATTGGCTAACCGCCAAGTTTTCCTCATGATAATGTCTGAAGTTCACAAATAGCATCTCAGAGCACTTGTTTTGTATCTGGGTTTTTTTTGGCCGGGGGACGTTTAAGAGCTGTATGTTTTTGTGAGCAGAATTAGGTGCTAATTCTTTAAGAGGTGGCTGGCAAGGGCAAATTTTTCATTTTCATTACAGTTTAACAAAGAATATATGGTAGTTTGTGTCAGAATGGTCTTGAGATGATGCACAGATCCCCTGAGTTCATGTTGCTTTTTAGCTTTTTAGCTTTATAACCTTGGGCAAGACTCTGTGTCTTCATTTGTAAAAGGTACGGAATCGGGCAAAGTGATTGTCAAGTCTTCCTAGTAGGAGGTTTTGATTCATTCTCTGGGGAACTGACATGTTTCAAAGGATTGGGGAAAAGGTGGCATTTATGTCTTTCATAGGCCAAAAATATTCTTGGATTATAGAATATGCATTATGATAATGAATAGGTATTGTGAAGATTAATATATTTCATTATCTAATCTTTTCTAGGTAACCAAAATAGGTCAAGCTTAGACTTCATCTTATTTTAATGCAGCCTAATGTGGCAGGGATATTTGCAGCCCTACAAGTCAGCTAAGGACTTTTACCTTTTTAAAAATGAGTTTTAGTTCATTTGTTGATTTTAAATTTCAGTACCCAAACCCAAACCCAGTTCTGTGATTGTTCTTCCATTAGGCCATCTGGATCATCTTGCAGGTGGGACTGTCCTCTGTCCAGGTGCAAGTACAACAAGCAGCAACTGCTTCCTCTGAAGGGCCAGATGGGCAGATGCAGATGGCATTGCTGTAGGCGCACATCCTTGGGTCAGGGCAGCCATGCTATTTGAACTCGTAGAATACATACTTTTCTTCTTGTCTTCTTCCTGTCCTTTAGAAGGATGGCATGGAGAACAGTTTCTAGGCTTCTTCGAATGGTTGACCTTGAGGGCAAAGGTATAGGAAAGGTGTAAGGTCTCCAGGGCTGATGTAGTGCTGAGCCCAGAACCCTTGTACACAAGCAGTTTGTCCAGCCAAGTGGCTTTGAATCTGAAGGCTCAGGGCCCACGACCAGTATATCTGATACTTATTGTCAAAAAGTATGACTCTCAACTTGGTAATTGCCTACACCAGTTCCAAGTCAGAATGATTACTTTTGTCTGTTTGATGGTGACTTTTTTTTTTTTTAGGCAGTCTGGCTATGCAGTTCAGACTGGCCTTGAATTCACTGTGTAGTCCAGGAGGGCCTTAAACCCATGGCAATCTTCCTGCCTCAGCCTCCTGAGTGCTGGGATTATAGCCGTGCACCATTACACCTCACCTACTTTTTAACAAGAAAATAATACATTCGAAAGGGTAGCAATTCTTTGCATAAAGAAGAATATTTCCCGAAGTGCTCACTGTGATTACATCTGAGAGAAATGACTAGCAGTGGTGGTGAACCAATGGCACATGTTCCACAGTAGGCTGTTATCATTGAAAACTCTTCTCCAGTGGGCTGTTCGTTATTAAAAGCTCTTCTTCAGTTCCTCCTGGTTTTAGTATTTTTCATATTTTCTGTGATGGTCATGCATTATTTGTGAAATCAGGAAAAATATGTTACATTTTTAAAAAGTGCCACAATGCCATAGAAGTTCAGCATTTTTGATATGATGGATAAAGGTTTCTCTATTTGGCTCCAGCCTCCCTCCCCAGCCACAGTGAATTGCTCATGCCCAGCGTGCCATGACCTGTTCCAGTTCTGTTGTGCTTCTGCCTGTGGCTGACCTTCTCTGCCCAGCCTTTGGGACTGTCAGTTCTTTCTGTCCACCATATCAGGCTGGATTTATCTCTGTCCCTTAGCACTATGTACAAATGTCTACAGTAACCGTTAGCAAGCTCCCTTACAAACCTGTCAACTTCTTCCTTGTGCAGTATGTGGAGTGTGGTAGACTTGCACTAAATTCTTAAGCAGACCAGTTCATTGTAGATATTCATAGCAGATTTGAATGTATTTGTAATTTTATTTGACACCCTGCCTGGATTACAGTCACAAGAAAACAAGAAGTCTCACTATCATGATACCTTCTTAACTCCCCTTAGGATGTTTTCTGTGGACTTGTGTACTCTCTCACCAGCCCAGATGGCTTGTCAGATGGCCAAAGTGGTTGGAAATGTGGTTGTCTTGCTGGTTTTTCTGTGGCTGGGTCTGGTGTCTCTGTCTGTACTGTATACTTGTGGTTCAGCAACCCCGTTCTCAAATATCTTCATAGGCCTTGTATACCATCTGAATTTCCCTGATACCACATGTTCTGTTCTAGAGAATCAGCTGGCTTTGTGACTTCTATTAAAGATGTTATCTTTGACCATCCCCTGGTCTATTCAGTCTTTCCTAAGGAAGAGACTTCAATTTAATCTTAGTTTCTCCTTTAGGCTGAGTCCTCTTCACACTTGAGTTTAACTCTGTATTACCTCTGTTTGAGCTTTACCACATTGAATGCTGGCATTTCACCCTGTTCTTAGTATTTTAGCTAGCCAGGCAAATCTGTTACAGTCCAAATGTACAGTCTTTGTACAGTCTTTGTATTAGTTGTATATTGCAACTAATATTGAGTAGATTCTTCTATACAAAATAATTGTATTTGTGCAAATTCAAATTATGTAAAATTGAGATAGAATATAGAAATATTAATAAAGCCTCCAGATTTTTAAAATAAAGATTAACTGTGCCCACGTCAGCAGCACATACACTGAAATAAAAGTTAATAACATAATTACAAAGCTTGTGAGTTTGAGTAACCTATGAAGTGTTAGGAAGCTGCAGCCACAAGGCAGGGTCATTTTTGCAAGTGAAACACAAACATCTAACTTCCTATGACAGTGTCTTGTGAATTGCATTGTTTTTACTGCATAGGAACTTGTACTTGTGATCTTATTGTCACTTACTATTTTAACATCTCATTTTAATTGAAAATATTTTTATAGCTGTTTAGTGTCACCTGTGCATTCATTAAATGGTTGTAGAATTTGTGCTAGGTGCTGAAACTAATACATGAAAAAAGTAAGTTTAGAATAGGGAATTTAGATGTGGTCAGGTAAAATACAAAGATGAAGGTCAGACAACTAACATGATACACTCACTGTGCTAGTAATACTACTGAAGACAATATTCACAGATAAAATGGAGCACTAAAGTAAAAATCCTGGGTGGTGATGCAGATCTGTGTCTGCTAAGAACCCATTCATTCTTGTGGGAAAATCAGATCTGAATTTTCCATGTGTTGAATAATTCCAAAACTTCAGGAATGCATCCCTTGCATAAAACACAGGGGATGATCTTGTGAACTTTTTGTGATTGAAATTATTATATCGCAGTTTTAAAATCTCACTTTAAAATACCTTGAGAGAGAAATAATAGATTATTGTCCTTTTTTTTTCTTTTTTTGTTTTTTTCCAGTACTGAGAATCAAACTCATGACCTTGTGCTTGCCAGGCAGGTGCTGTGCCACTGAGCTAAATCCCCAGCCCCTTAGATTATTGTCTTTAAAGTACAAAACACGTATGACTTCAGTTAGTAGGCCTTTCACTAGTTACTTTGTAATTAACTTAATAAATTTAAGCTATTCTTCCATAACATTGTTTTGGGTGGACTTTGTTTTTGAGTGTAATTGTTTGTTGAGATGAGGGTCTCCCTGTGTGGCCCTGACCAGTCTTGAACTCCTCAGCTCAAGTGATCCTCCTGCCTCAACCTCGCACATAGCTGAGATGACAGCACACACTACCATGCCTGACTTTTCCATAATGTTTTTAATGGTTTCTAGTTTTAACTATTAATTTAGAGCCTTAGGGACACAGAGCGCAGACATTTGACATCCCATAATAGTGTCTGGATTTGAAAGAACCTTAGAGGTAATTTTACAAAGGGAGACAGATGGGTAGAGAGGACAGCTAAGAGCTCAGAGTCATGCCATATTTCAAAGAATTGCATTTTTAAAATTTTTAATAGTGTATTCTTATTTATACTTACAGTTTTTTAAGGTCTTGTCCTCCCTCTTTATTTGTTTATGTATATGTTGAGCTTTTCCTGCTATGATATTATATTGACACAGGATAAGAGTAGGTGGATCTACTTTGCTTAAAGAAAAAATCCAAATGCTTTTTTTTCCAACGTAAGACTTTGGGAATAGTTTGGTAATTAGACATTCTCACCAGTTCCTAACACATATAGTACTGTACTATGCCATACATTAAAAAGTATAAAAAGTATATCAAATTCTGTTGTCGTCATTCCTCGTAGAGTTTTTTTTTTCTTTTCAAGATAACGCATATGGAAAAACATTACGGCAGCATCACGGCTGGGTAGTTCGTGGGGTTTTTGCGGTAAGTCATCCCTTTCCCCCAATGTTTGGATGGTCAGAAACAAGATGGTGTGTTTTGTGTGTGTGATATTTGTGGTTGATTTATTTTTGAGGATAAGAAGGAAAAGTTGCTCACTTCATTTGTGTTTACAGGCCTTTGGTGTGTGGAAATGTCAGCAATAAAAAGTGTCTAGAATAGCAAAGGCTTGTTTATTTATTTAGGTATTGGGAATTGAACTCAAGACCTTGCGCTTGCCAGGCAGGCTCTTGTGCCACAGAGCTACATTCCCAGCCCCACAAAGATTATTTTAAATATATACTTTAACCTGTCCAATTCCAGTGACCTTGTGGAGAGTTTCACTTCCAAAGTCATTGCCTTTCTGACATTTAGTAAAAAGCTCAAGTATCAATGTCAGACATAAGTAGGAAGCAGAGATCCCAAGTACTGTGGAAGGGAAATGATGCATTCAAGTGATTAATTCAAGCTAATAGCTCCCTCTTCTGCCCATTGTATTCAATTATTATTTAATTCTTGGCTCTTACCTCACTTTTTAGCTGAATTTTATCTTTAAATATTAACTCTATTGGTTGGACCAGCAGGTAGGGCTAGAAATCTCTTCTTACTTAGTTTTTTTAAATGTTTGTACTTATGTGTTTTGCCTCATGTTACCCACCACCTCTCCTATCCCAATATTTTGGAACACAGACCCAGGAATCTTAATCCTTAGACAAATCACTTAGCCTGCTTTATAAATAGCAGGTGTAGACGGCTCCTTTATGTCAGCAGTACACTCATGCTTCCCACTTGGGAAGGGTCAATCTTAGTACAGTGTAGGTTTGAGGAGACAGAGTCTCCTGTTGCTGTACACTAGGAAACTTAATAGAATATGAGTGTTCTCTGTAAAGAAGGGGATAAAATTGCTGTGCAGAGAGTATCTTTTACTAATTTAAAGTATACATCACTTGGCTTAGGTAATAACGGTTAGGGCCATGATTTCTTCCTCCATTCTTTCTTTAGTAAAGATGCAGGAAGAATGTACAATGCAAGAAATCAATATTAGTGGAAATGACATCTTTTGAAAGCGTGGAAGTGGCTTGCTGTATATCCTACTACTCACTGGAATAATTGCCAGACCAGATGCAGCTATATACTGCCCATATTACCTTCAGTGCATGTTTAATAGTCATAATAGGAGCTACCATATAGCTATTGGGTGCTTGTTGAACACCAAGGACTGTGCCAGGTACTCTTCATGTTCATTATTTTTGTTAATTTTCAGGATTAACTCCCACGGTTTTATAAGTTCAGAATCATTAAATTCAGACCCAGAGTGAGCTATGGCAGAGCCCAGATTTAAAGCCAGGATTGCTGACCCCAACGCTAGCTAGTGCTCATGCCATCACAGCCCTGTGCAATAAAGACAGAATAATTAAGAAACCTGTATTGAGTTCTTAAGCAAAGGGTGCTAACTGTGCTCATTGGTCTACCTGAGTAAATATTGTGATTGCTTCCGTGTTCCTGACATGAGTTCCATTGGTGAGATGATTAAATTCAGGCAAAATTCATTTGCCTTGTTTACAGTAAACAAATGTTGGGTGTGTTTTGTTTGGGGGGTTTCTTTTCAGTGTATGGTAAAGTTTAACCCTGAAATTTTGATGATCTAAGAGATGTTGCCAGTAAGAATGCAGCAGATACAGTAGAAAATTTATCATTAGCAGGAGCCTTCAAGAGGACTTTTTAACCTACAGTGTTCTTTTTTCCTGATTTATACTAATGTAGACTTAGTATAAGTAATGTAGAAATCATGGAAGAATAGAGAGGGAGAAAAATTAAAATTTCCTGTATTTCCTCTTTTAATATTTTTATGTTTTATCTTCTTAGCTTTTATTTTTTGTATTTTTATTTACATATTCTCTTAAATAATTGATCTACTTAATTTATATATTTATCTAACTATATATTTCTACTTATAGATGTTAATATTTATATGTCTACATATGTATGGTGTTGTGTATTTTGATTATGTATCTTATGTACGTATGGATGCATGTAATTTTTTTCTGCATTTAGTTTGTAGTGTAATTTTGTATTCTTTCACCGCACTTAATAGAGTCTATCATGAACATCTTTAAATTCGATAAGTCTGAGAAAAATATTTCAGTGACTAATACTTCTTTTAGTATGAAGTTATAATTTGCTCTATCCTCTGTGTTAGAAACTTATATCCTCTGTGTTAGAAACTGCTTCTGAGTTCCTTCTGAGAAAGAACACAGCATATGTTTATATGCATTTTTGACTAAAGCTCTTACTTCCTCAAAACAGGTTCCTTTAAAAATCGTTATGTCTGATACCCAGAACTGCAACTGTAACTTGCAGTTTTGAGTATTTACCATCCGGCAAATATTGTTTTTAAGTGCTTGATATACATAAAGTTATTAATCTCATTACCCTGAGATTGGTTCTCTTATTTTCTGTGCTCAAAGACAAAGAATCCTAAGACACAAAGAGATGAGTCTTACTCTGTAACTCATAGTTACAGAATAAGAACATTTCAAAGGCTTTGAGGATTATTGCAAATAATTTTTTAAATTACTGGTTTTTAAGAAAATAGATTGCGTTCAGCATTTGACAGTAGTATTATCAGTGGAAAGCTAAGTCCGTAGCTTGACTGGCCCCTTCATGACTTCTGCTATTCCCCAAGTCATCACCACTTTGGAAGGTTTCTTGAGATTTCTGACACACTCATTAACATAGCCTAATTCATTCTAAATGATCTTAGTTTCTCAAGGACACATGTATTCCATCCAAGGAGTTTGACTCATAAACCACATAATGAGATTTTTACCTTCAGACAGTTGTAGTCTCCTAAACTGATGCAGCCTCTGACTGCAACTCCATCACTAACCTGTCATCATTTGACTTTTTTGGTTTCCTCTTCAGCCAGACTAGCTGGTCAAATTCTAGCATTGGTTCTGCCTTCTTTTTTTTCCTAGAGTGCTGGTTTTGGTATAGATAGAACTCTGGGTTAATAATTGTTTTTCCTAAGAGTTTTGAAAGCATGACAGTATTGTCCTCCAGCTTTCACTATTAGAAAATATAATGCTATTTCTATTCCCTTATATAGAAACTATTCATTATCACCTATGGAACACTTTTAAATCTCTGGTTTTATTCTACTCTAAAATTTCATGCTAGCCCCTCCCCCTTTTCTTTATCATTTATTGTGCTGGCACTTAATTAGGCTTTAAATCTAGAGACTCCTATCCTTCAGTTCCGGAAATTTTTCTCATATTATGTTTTTGGATATGGCCATCTCTTTATTTTCTGTCCTCACTTCCCTTGTACTCCTAGGATTGAGTACTATATGCCAGCAGAGGTTGAACACTTTGTACATATACTATTAATCCTTAAAATAAGGAAAGTGGTATTAGCCTTCTGTAGATGAGGAAAATGAAGTTCTAGGAGGTTATCGTGTTGTTTGAATTCTTCAGGCTAATGTGTGAAAAGTCTTGAGATTCATGGCAGTCTACTTCATCCCTGCCTGTGCTTAGCTTCTGCATGATGATGCTACTCATTTACTGAAGATATGGGGAAGACTGATTCTCAAAACCTTTTAAAGTATAAGGTGGACCCAGAGAGCCATTATAGAACAGTAATTCAAGCTTCTCTATTGATCTCAGGAGAGCCAACCTAGTATGGATTTCAGAAAGAAGATTTTTAGCAAGATTAGTGAATAGACTGCAAAGGACGGAGCAGAATGGGGAGAAGAAAGGAAGGGAATGATGAGTCTAGGAAGTCTTCTGTTAGGAAGTCGCAAGGTGTGGTGCTGTGGTTGAAAAGCACAGAGGTAATCACAGGTTCAGATGTGATCAGCTGACATCACATACTAGCTCCCTTTTTAAAAAAAATACAGGTGCAAAGGAAATATTTTCCATGTGGGAAAAAAATAGATATGCAAAGAAACATAAATGGAAATGAGGTATAAAAGAGTTAGGTAGCAGAAACATGGCAACAGGCATACAGGTCAATTCTGAGGATTCTGGAGGAATAATTTTGATCACCCTATGGATGAAAAAGAAAATTTCTGAAACTCCTCCTCTTTTAGCATTTTCTGACTTGGTAGCATTATTGATCATTAAGATGGCCCAAGAACGCACTTGCTGCTTTTAGCCTTAAAGTTAGATGATTTAGTACTTAGAATATAATTTTAGAAATCCATGAATGGAAAAGGGTGTTCATATTTCTTTACTCTTGCTGTCTTAGCTTTTTGTACAGATGAGTGTGTATGTATGTATGTACACATGCATATGAATAAATGTGCAAGAAACAATCCTGATACAGATCCTCACAGGCAATTCTTTTGCAGTTAGCCCTGAGGGCAGCTCCATCCTATGAAGATTTTGTGGCTGCATTAACCATAAAGGAAGGTGACCACCAGAAGGAAGCTTTCAGCATTGGGATGCAGAGGGACCTTAGCCTTTACCTTCCTGCCATGGAAAAGCAACTGGCCATCCTGGACACTTTATATGAAGTCCACGGACTGGAGTCTGACGAGGTGGTGTGACAGCTGCAGGACAGCATCTCCTAACTTCAGGGAATAAAGTTTGCTAAAGTATTGTGTTGCCCTACTTAATTTTCAGCAACAGCTTGAGCCCTTCCCAACACCTTCCTTGGGGGAAGGGGAAGGAAGAGGCAAAACCTAGTGCTTTTCTATATGATTTTGTAAAATGTGTATGTATTTTATGTAATCAAAAATCAAGGTGCTATATACTTCAGTGGGCTTACTGGAAACCAAATCGTAGTTATTAAAGACTTGAATGGCAAGTAATAAGAGCAGATATGACAAATAGATTTGTTTATATTGTTTTATATTGTTTTGTTTTAGTTTTAATGGGACACCCAAACCCAGGCTGCAAATGAGCAATTCTATATCAAGGACTAAAATTTATAGCCAGTGTTAAACCATCTTAGAGTTAGACTGAACACTTGGAGTATAAGCTCCTTTGTGAAGCAATGGTAATGTCATTTGCTTTTCCTAGACATTCTCCAGTGGATCCTCTTCTCTGGCTCTTAGTAAGAAAAGCCTGTGTAGAGAAGAGGTTTGGGCATTGGTGTGACCATGCAATTGTGGGAAGATATGGACAAGGACTGCCATCCCTCTTGAGAGGTGTGCCCTGACCCCACACTGGAGGACAGGATGGAAGAAGTGGGACAGGTCATTTGAGATGACACCTATCTTGTGCCCACCTTTTGCCACATTTCCCAGGCATTATCTCCATTGGACCTCACAAGAAAACCATGACACCCAAGGAGCTTCTTATTCCATTTCCAAAGTGATGTTTAGAGGTAGAAGGATCTGTTCACACTCATGTAGTCTCTTAAGTAGAGGAGCCAAGTGACTTCCAAGTGTAATCTGTACCATATTTGTATTCAAGTCACACGGAATCACATGCTCATTCAAAGACTGGATTTCCAGGACTTATCTAAAGAACCCAGAGAGTGGGCGGGACACAGGAATCTACATTTAGATGAACTTGCCAGATGATTCTTATGCACACAAGGTAGAAGGAACCACTTACTTAAATTCGAGTTTTCAGAATTACAAACTCTTATGCAAGAACCAAATGATACGTCCTTTTTTCAAACAGGAAGAGTCCGTCATTTAAGAAAAATAATTCAGTGGACAGCGAGAAGTACAAGAAGTTTACTCAGCAGCATGTGTCATTGAGCCAGCATCAGCATCCAGCATTCAGGGCCACAGCTCTGAGTCTTCTTCCGATCAGTCATGGCTTCAAGACCAAAAGTGCAGAGCCAACTAAAGGCAGCTGCATGTCAGTCTCAAAAGCTTTCAGGTTTATAGATGGGACTCACATATTTTATGAAACAACTTTGGGAGGACATTCTTTTACCAGGTGTGATGCCCAAATTATGGCCCTTGTCTCCCAAGGGCCAAGCTGCCACAGTGTGCATAAGGGAGATGCCATGAGTGCCTTCCTCTTTAGAGGCCACTTCCCTCTAGTAACAGGAAGAGACACTCCAGCAGAAGGTAGTTCCTCTGGGAGAGTGTGAGGGACACAGGTGAACAGAGTGATGCTGAATGATGCTGCAGATCCGTTGGGCAGAAGAATGCACTCCTTAGCAGAGTGCTTCATATAAGAAGGAAACTGATTTTGTCTTTTGTCTCTAAACAGGCATTTATTTAACCCACATTAATGAAACAAGTTGAGGTAGACGAGGTGGCACACACCTGTAATCCCAGCTACTGAGGCAATTAAAGCAAGAGAGTCTCTTAGTCCAGGAATTCAAGGCCAGCCTGGGCCATGGAATGAAATGCTATGCTTTAAAATTAAAACATAGCTTTTTTTAAAAAATAAAGCATGTATTTAGCCTACAAAAGAACTTCTAGAAAATACTTAAACTTAGAAAAGCGATATCTTATGTTTTAAGGCTAGAGAAGAAAAAGAACTAAAGTAATGTTGATTATATTTCAGCATTTACCGTGGGCAGCTGCTAAGGTGTGTGGAGTATTTCCTCCCACTCTCGAGAGCTTTCTATGAATGTCCTCTGTTTGTTTTTTTTTTCTTTTGAGACAGAGTCTCACTATATAGTTCAAGCTGGACTTGAGCTCACTGTGTAACCCAGGCTGGCCTTGAGCTCTTGGTGATCTCCTGCCTCAGTCTCCAGAGTGCTGGGATGATAGGCATGCCCCACCACATCCAGCTTGGATGTCCTCTAGCTAGTGTGAATATGAAGCAGGACTAGGGGATAATTTACACTTCTGCCCGTGACATCCCCTCCTCAAAGGGGAAAGAGAAAAAGCAGTCAGTTTTTGCTTATGCTGTGAGTGGAGATGCTTTAGGCACTGTGCTCTTAATGGGGATGCTACCAGAAAATTGATGTTAGTGTGAAGCTGACCATTCTAAGCAACTGCTGGTGCTCCTGGCCACCTCAGGTCAGCTCTTATGGTCCTTGAAAAGGAGGTGGGCACTCTGAAAACACCTCAGGTTTGCCAAGACTCTGAGTGCACACAAGAGGACAGTTGCCCTGCATTGCCATTTCATGTTTTTACAAGTACTGCCTACATGTTTACGACTCAACTTATAAAGGATGAGTTTAGTATTATCCAAATAGAGTAGCTTGAATAACTTGAATAAGTTCCATTTTCCGATCAACCTTTTTCCAGCTCTGCAGAAAGAGGGTAAGGTTTTTCAATAGATGTTTTCTTCACCAGGGAATATTTGCCTAATGTGTAAAACTGAGGATCCTTTAAAAACAAAAAAAAGCTAGAAATTCATTGTAATACTCAACAGTAAATTCAACTTGACCTGAATCTTGACACAGACAGAGCTTACACCTAGATCTACAGTATTTGTTTCTTCATTTACAGTCACCACTCATGATGCTGAGCAGACTTTCTAAGAAGGGGCAATGGGATAAAATACTTCCAGCTTTCTTCTATAGCCCTCAAAGAGCTCTGGGACTGAGCTTTCCTTTACCCTGACACTGGGAGAGAAATAACTCTCGTATGTTTGTTGCTTTCATTGCTTGAAACATCTGTAGGATTTCTTTTCTTGCATAACCATTAGAAGAAAAGGGAGATATGTCTTGCTGAGTGTTGGCAGAAGCAAGGAAGCAGCATGAGCCCTTAGGAGAGCTTCAAGGCAGAGCCCACGTTCCTATTGGTAGCTGTGGGGCGGGTGAATGCCAAGACCTTTGGCACCTGGGAGAGGTGATGTTACCAGGCGAGTGTTTTGAGAAGTTTGTGCTCTGCTCCTTTTGGTTACTGCTTCCATATATATCTCTAAGAAGCTAATGCTTTCAACTTTATATTTTCAGTATAATGTTCTTAAGAAAAATATGTGGTAGGGACTAATAATATACTTTATTAAATTTGAAATGAGGAAAACAAAGAAAATTTTTGCAAATGAAATACTCTGATTATGGAAATCATACATGTGGAGAAATACCAGATAAAGCAATAGAGTCAGAGGATCATGAGCAGTAGGGGATGACAATGAGGCATTTTGGAAACTTTTCTTTTTCCTACTAAGTTACTGTGTCCTACAGGAACTTGGTTATATAATGGTGCATTTCTGAAACACTAATTAAAACCAGTTGCTTCTGATTTTAGTCATGGATTTACAACTATTCAGTTCCCCAACCCTCATGTTTTATTTCTTTAACTACCAATCTTTTTAAATGTAAAAGTTTTTAGATGACAAATTTATAACTAAGTTAAGTATATGTGAAGCCATTGTTCTGTTAGGTGAGCTCATGTATTTGGTCTTGCAGTCCTAATTTCAGATGCTTCATGACATCATACAGTCTGTGCACCCGATGAACCTCTGTTCCTGTAAGGTGTATGGAGAAGGCTTTATTTAATAATATGTCCCACTTCTGTATGACCCTTTGTGACTTGCAGTTGCTTACTCAGGGGTTTCACAATCATGAAAATACTCACTTGCTGGCTAGTGATGTTTTAATGCATTATCTATTACAGGTCATTTCAACAATCTCATAAACATACTGTTCACTAGGCCTTCCCTGTAGATGCTCCTAGTTCCTGTCCTGCTTCAGACAGTCAATAGTCCTGTGGACAGTGACCATTTGCATGATTTCTTGTCACTCTGCTGCATTCAGGCACTCCAGGGCATGATGGAATGGTCATTGATAGTGCCTTTCTGATATAGTTGATGCATGCATTGATCTCTGTCCTCCTCTGTTTTTAAAATAACTAATTAAAAGGAAAAAGCATACCACTACTGTGCAATGCAAAAATTTTCATGGTTCTTTGGTTACCTTTATGAATTACTTCTTTTCAGATGAAAGATGTATTCAGCTAAGCTATGTAAGAATTAGTATCCTGCTTGTTTTAAATGTTTTCATATGTTTTGTTTTCTTTTTGGTTTTTTGAGACAGGTTCTCACTCTGCAGTTCAGGCTGGCCTTGAACTCACTTTGTAGCCCAGGCTGGCCCTGAACTTGCAGCAGCAGTCCTCCTGCCTCAGCTTCCTACATGCTGAGATTACAGGTGTATGCCACCACACCCAGCCTATAAATCCTTTCATATATTTTCAAATGTGGTCAGTGTTTCTTCTGTCTTACAACAGAAACCACCCTGGGATGATTGGCACCCCTTGCGAAGCTGATCTCTTCCACGTAGACTCCTGTGCATGTGTTCACAGATGTATAAGGAGTCAGCAATGATAAGAAGGCAAAGGAGCCAGTTTCATGGCATGTTTAATGTATGATTCCCATGTGTCCTGAGAACTTAACCAGAATGTCATTAAACAGCCCAACTACCTCATGTGAAATTGGCTGTGGACAATCTGTTAGATGAGAAATGTGTTCACATAAATTTATTCTGGCTGATAGATTGAACAAAATGATGTCTATATAAAGGAAAAATATGTTAGACCAGATGCCAAAGGCTAAAATGTACATACGTTTCCTTGAATTAGCGCTTAAGTCAGTGTTTAACTCCATACCCAGGATTCTTACGAATGTTTGTGGTTTCGTAGCCCCATGCACGTTGAATATCTGTCACATGCAATCTGTTGTCGTCCCTTAGCATTTTGAATGAGTATCATAATGCTAGTAGAAATCAAGATAAACTGCAAATGTCAGGTGGCTTATTGACTATTTAATTTAATAGACCTTTACTTAGAATATAATATAATGGAGACTTTTAGTACCAACTGATGAATGAGAAGTTCATGTTTAGGTTTGTACCATTTTTCTGTCCTAGTTTTTCTGTATCTCATGGGGAGGAGGGAACTACTCTTTTTGGAAAATGTTTGAAAACATCTGTCAGATTTTATATTCATTAGTTATAATAAACTTATTTTTAAAGTATTTTATA